AAACCGAGAAAACCAAGCAAAAAATTAAAATTAAAATATCTAACAACATAATGCATGTAATTTACCTTATTATATTTAATGAATTCTTCTATCAAAATAAATATATAATAGCAAAACACATAAAATTTATAATAAAAACCGATAGACACAGAAAATTTATTGAATAATAATTAAAAAAAACAAATGCAAGGATGTAATATGAAAAATATATATAAAAAATAGTTATAAAAAATTTAATCTTTATAAAATTATGAAAAAATCACAAGTGAATCATACCTGCCTCTTTAAAAATTAAACACATCTAATATTATTTAAAAATAATCACAATATAATTAAAACATAAACCCAATATTTATTTGAAAAAATACATAAAAAATAATGCATTATTTTTTTTAAATCTAAAAAAAAAAAAAGAATTAGGCTAGGCATTGATGCACTAGTAAGCCATGCTCAGCGCCTAGCCCAATTAAGCAACAGCCAGCGTGTCAGCTTCCAAGGCTAGATTCAAGCACAAGCCTTTATTTTTTTTTATTTTAATGAGGCAGATGACATGCACCAAATATATGTAAAAACAAATATAATACATCGCTTGTGCAACCTAAAATCTAGCTATTGTGGTGGCTAGAAAAACGAGGTCGTTTATTTTTTCACCTAAAAACCTTTTTCAATCAATTTTTGACCCAAAACACCTAGAAAATACCATAAAGACTTTGTTAAGCCAATCCATAATCACCAAAAACCCAATAAACTGTCCTAAAACATGAAATTCATCCAAAACAAAAATTATTCTTGAACTCAGATATATTTTTAGGTGTTTTTAAGTAAAAACACCTAAACATAACTCCCCTCATTATATAGAACCTTTTGACACAAAAAACAATTATTTTAGTGGTCGTAATCTTCCCCAACGACTACTTTCTCTCTCTAAGCTAAATTTTAATGACTTCCTCTCTCTTCTCTCAACAAAAAAGAAAAATGAAATTATGTACCAAAATGTATTGTCTTAAAATTCAAGAGACTAGTCACCTAATATCTAAAAAAATATGAGAGATTACAATGAATTTTTAACAAAACTTTTAACCTACCCTCCATGTTATCCGAGATTTTCACTTTAGTCCTTTAGCTTTTAACTCGACTCTTCCTTCTAAAAAAATGCAATTAGGAGCTAATTTAGGCTCAAAAAGAACAAATCATGCAAAATAAAAGTTTGAGAATCAAAGTAAAAATTACAAAAAAAATCATAATTATTCCAAAAACTAACTTATTAATAGTGGAGATGGGAAAATTAGCATTTCATTGTGTATTTGCAAGCTAAATGATTATCTCTTTTAGTATTGAGTATAATGGGCAATAAAAAAATAACATATAAATTTAAAATAAGTTATCAAGTATGTCACATGCATATGACGTCATGGTTATCATCCTTCCAAATTAGGATAGTCGAGAATGATTTTGGTGAAAAGAACAGAGAATTCTTGTCTTTTATTTATAGAAAAAAGAAATAAGAGTCGCTAGCTAGTATTTTGATTACTAAAAAAGCCTAACTAATCTTAAAGTCTGGGAAAAAGGAACTCACCGCATAAAGAAAGATATTAGCACCCGTAATACACTTTATATGAGGTAAGTTACATTGTTTATTTATTTGATATAAACTAAGAAAAAATTATATTTTATAATTGTTAGTCTGTCTAAAATTTAAGAAAAGTTCTTCTTAATAAAGAGATTCTTATTTTATCATATTAAAAATATAATTTTTCTAATGCCAACAAAAAACTAAATTGTCCTTTTATTTAACATCATAAATATATTTTACATATAAGTTCATAATCAAATCGTTTTTTGCATAATAGTTACATTGTTAATGCTGGTTGAATAGCCCATTTTCGAGGTTTTGTCAGAGTAATTCTGACATCATCATCGTCTTAGACCATCTAAAATTGGTAGAGGGGGTGTACACCTTTTATCTGGACCTAACCTTACTCAAATTGAAGGTATATAACTCCATATTCACATGTTTTAATTTTCCAACTCGATTAATCAAAATTGTCAAAAACAAAGATGCAATCTGACGAACAATGTGTCGTTCACCATTTCTTCATTAACCTTGAATGATACACCATTTAGGGTTTTTAATTTGGAATTTTGCAAAATTCAATTTAGTCCATGTTCTTCTAATTATTTTTAATTGTACTCATAATTTTTTTTATACTTGTAATTTTATGCAATCTCACCTTTGTCAAATTCAATTGTCAACCTTAAAATGGACTATTATTTTCATTTTAAACCTTGGTACTGAATTTGTGCATTTTAACTCTTAATTGACCAATAAACTTTTGTTTTTTTTAATTTGGCCCTTGATTTGGTCTATTTCAACCCCTACATTTTTGCGCATTCTTTAGTTTAGTCTTTGCTTTGGATTTTTTCAATCAAGTCCCTAATTGTCCATCATACTTTAATATTTATGCAATTAAACCTTTGATTTGACTAAATCAACTCTTGAAAATTATAATTTGACCCCTAGATTTTAATTTCTTCTAATTAAAGTATAAATTGACTTCAAAAATTAATTTTTCTGAAAATTAAGCTCTCAATAAATTTAATTAAACCTTGAAAAATTCCAATCAAGTCCTTAAACATCTAATTTTGAATTGTCCTCATTAAATTGAGTTTTTATTTGTAACGGGGCCTTCATCGGTTGAAAATATACTATCAAATTTTTCAATCTTGTATATTTTGATCTTCCTCAGCAGTTTTCGACAAGTTCCTGGACGTTTTGGTATATTCTTCTCACTTTTATTTTTTTATTTTCTTCCATCATTTTTTTAATTTGTTTGTGTATTTTCTCTGTTTTTTTTTTTGTTTTTTGTTTACTTGAGGGGGGTAAAAAAGGATAACAACAAAGTACAAGATTTAAGTTTCTTAATGTGACCTTACTCAATTATTAAATTCAATAATGATAAAGGGAGTGACGACATGGATGAGTAATAACACAAAAGTTAGATTAAGAAATTTAAAAGAGTGTCATTACGACAAAATATCAGTAGGATAGCTGAGTACCCTTGAACACATTAGCATTCCATAAATCACGTAATAGTACTGTCCAAACATGCATGTATCGCGCTTAGAATCTAAAATCTCATTGAAATTAAAATTTATAAAATCAAAAATCCAGATTAAACTCAAAAGTTAAGGAAAAGTTAAGAGAAATCGGATCCTATTAATTTAAATTAAGATCTTCAGACAATAAATAAAGAAGAATAAACTTAGAATCAACGTTTCTTAATCAATTTTGTTTCATTTGTTTATTTTTATCCCCACCTAACATAAATTAGCATGTATCATGCTGCCTTTATGACGTCACACATAATTAATCCCTATATGGTAAAAAGAGTGTTAATAAATTAATTAAGAGATTTTAAAAGGTAGCAGAACGATAAAAGAGTTACAGAAAATAAAATGAGGGATCAGAAGTCATTTTCTCTTGATGACAAATATATATATATATGTGTGCGCAATTTCCAAAACCTTGACACTGGATCATGGTTTTTCTTTATATGCCATTAGGTGTCTGTTCTTCACTTTAGTCATAAAGAATGTAGATGTGGATTGGCTTATTTCATGATATAAAGTCTCTCTCAATTTTCATGTCGCCTAGCTTTATAGCGATAGATACATTGTAGCATAGAGCAGTCCAGGTATTGAAAAGAATCAAAACATAGCGCAAATCTTTAGTAAAGCTGCTCGAGAAGCTTACTGGGCCGGCTGGATTTTTTGTTACAATCATATATATCCACGCATTCTGGCTTCATGAACCCTTGCCTTTAGCTTCTTTCTTCGTCAGTGCAGTGCCATGTCAAAAGGGAAAGAATCCCAGGCAAGCAGTAGCTTATTCGATTCCTATTTATAAAGCAATGCGTTAAATCTCCTCATCCATTCCACAACAAAACATACAAGGAAGTGGGAGTTCACGATCAGGTTTCCTTTCGATATGTGGTAGACGCGACTAGTCACAGAGACTCGTGTTGGCTAATACAATAGAACTATACATTTCCGGTGTTCGCTTCATCAAAAGACTCGGTTTTCCTTTAGGATTCTCCATCGAAGGTAAAGATGGGATCATCACACTTTGCAGATGATGGAATCTATCTTAAAAGGAAAAGGAGAGAAAGGGGGCATGATTTTCCATGTCGTTTAATGCTCATAGAACTCTGAAGCCTTCGACTAACACCTTAATTTCTATGGACTCACAAGAGCGACTTGGGGATAAAAGGGTTGGATAAGACGTTCTCACCCTTTTTTGGGGGCCACGGACTAAGCCCACGGGTCTCATTTATTTCGCAGTCGTGCTACAATGGCTATGACCTTATCCAAGATTTATGTAACTTGCATTGAAAGAGTATGGGCTCAAGTTACTTGTCCGAAGAAAGACATGCAGGCAAGCAAGCGAATTGTTTTTTTTTTTTTTACCTTGAATCGCTAGGTTGATGGATTTTTTTTTTAATAATCATCTTAGATTTATTCAATATTAATTATAAAGTAGGTTAAGAAAAAACCTATAAGTCTATATAATTATTATAATATTTTTTATTCCAACTTATGGAATTTTATATAATTGCCTTTGAAACAGGACAGATGCCCATATTGTAAGGTTTGTTGGAAAGATTTTACCATATATATAATATATATATATGGTGCTGCAAGAGATGCCTTTCTCGCACTCTCCGACCCCATACCAGTGCTTCGTAGCAGAGCCAAATTGTTTCGCTAGAAAAACAAATGCATATTCCCAGTGAAGCTCCACAAGTATTGAGAACCAGTTTCTTCCAAGGGGCTGGATCACAACAAATTGTTGGCCATGTTCCTTGGGTTAGCACATCTTGTTCACGCTTGAGGAAATTAGAGATACAGTTCCGTTGCAGCAAAGGAGCAACTAATAAAAGCATTTACATAGACTGATATCATTTCATTCTTTCCTTTCCCCACCTTACCAATCGTTTCCGTAAGTTGAACCGTGGTATCTTATTCTTATATATGACTTGATGATGTGAGTAAAGAAGACATCTCTTCAATAAAAACCGAGGATGATTGCATGTTACAATGGTACAATTTCACGTACAAGTAGGATTCATTTTGGAGTTCTCTTCATTCTCCTATTCCTGTTGGATCTTGAGGCGTCCCCTAACAGAGCAGCAGTCCTCAACCCACACAAACAAATGAATGACTTATGAGGAAGGCATCTTCCACCTTCCTCTTCCTAAGCAAGGATGCCTCTTGGAATCTTGAAAAGGAACAAAAACCAAACAAACAGACAGTACACCAAAATGTCAGCTATCACCAAAATTAGCCATGGAGGATGGCTGAGGCTGCTGGATATGAGCCTCAGTTTGTGCCTCTGAGTGATTTTGTTGCTCAACAAATCTGCTTATACGCTCAAGCAACTGCTGAGCCTTCCTCTTTCCCCGGTCTGTGCCATTTTGTGCCAAATCCACCAGCGGTCCCATAACTCCATGTTCTTGTGCCTCTACCATATGTTTCTGGTCTCCAGAACAAAGATGCACCAACACTGCTGCTGCATTCTCTCTGTTCCTGGGTGACCCATTCCTGATAACTTCCACCAAAACTGGCACTGCCTCTGCAGCTCCAATGGTTGCCTTCCCTTCAGGGTGGCTAGCCAGTATTGCTAGTATAGCCAGTGCCTCATCCACCATTCCACCTCCGGTTTCTGTTAATAGACACATCAATGTGGGCACAACTCCGGCCCTCACTGCCTTTCCCTTGTTCCCCTGGAAGATGCACAAGTTGAAAAGTGCAGTCGCTGCATCCTTCTTCCCCCTTTGTGTACCTTCACTTAGAAGTGTCACCAGAGGTGGGATAGCCCCCAGAAAACCAATTGTAACCTTGTTTTCATCCACAACTGAAAGGCTGAAAAGGGTGGCTGCAGCATTTTCACGAGCTTCCATGCTGCCCTTCTTGAGTACATGCACAATACCAGGAACTGCCCCAGCTGATACAATGCTTCCTTTGTTATCTTCGCATATGGAGAGGTTAAGAAGCGCTGTAATTGCATGCTCTTGGATGTGAGGGTCAGGTGTCGAGAGGAGGCCAACAAGGAGAGGGATTGCACCAGCTTGAGCAATAGCCACACGATTATCAGCGTTGTGCTTGGCAAGAAGACGGATCTCCCCGGCAGCAGACCGCTGGTCTTCTAGGCAGCCAGATGTAAGCTTGTGGAGGAGAATTTCAATCTTTGTACGCTCAGCAGGTGAGCAAGTAGATACAGTTTTACTTGTCCCAGAACTGCTGGGCCTTTTTGGTGGCTCAATGCCATTGGCTTCACACCACTGCGCTATGAGGCTTCGTAGAACATAGTTGGGTGTCGGAGCAGTACTAGTGAGTTTCTGTTGCGTCTTTGGACAAGTGTCATGTCCTGCTCCCAGCCATTTCTCAATGCAGGAACGTTCATAGGTCTATAATCGACAAAGAAGAAATGTTAAAAAGGGCAGCCATAGAAAAATGTATAAGCAAGTCCCTCAGTTTATACAGGGCGAGGACCAAGCAAGAGATCTAGTAAAAGATCAATCAGCCATCAACACCCCAGAAGTTTGTTGCCCTCCTACCCAAGAAGCAGCAAACCATCAGATTTTTTTTTGCAAGTTTCCCGTCTTTTTGAAGCAACTTCAAAGTGATTATTGGAGGGCAAGAATCCTCCTCTGATACAACTCTAGACCCTCAAATCTCAAATAAAGGTCTCATCAAAGGGAAGATCTTAATTACTTGATGCCCTGTGACCTAACTGTTTCAATGCACATAACAAGTTTTATCTAAGCATATGGCACTTTCTGTAGACATTCTATAAATGTGGTTGAAAAATGGAAGATGGAGGCAAGGGCTGAAACTTCACATCATCAAATCACAGACAAAAACACATGAAAAACAGAAATTCAGGTTCAACCATTGTTTAGGACATCATAGGATAGAAGATTCGGGATCCATATACCTGCCCTGTCGAAACAATAACAGGATCCTTCATCAATTCCAGGGATATTGGACAGCGGAAATCATCTGGGATAACTGGCATCTGGTGACTTCCATCAACAATAGCTTGTCCACTGCCACTTGGGGGAAGATTCTTTTCTCTTTGAGGTGCATCCAGGTTTGGGTTTTCTGTTTGCACAAAATCTTTAATTTTCTTCAAAAGCATCGACATCTTCTCAATTCTCTCCCCAGGATCTCCTCCAGTAGCAGCAACCATCTCATGCAAAGCTAGAGACTCTTGTGTAAGGTCAGCTATTCCCATCAATTGTAATTTTTCAGATATTCTTCTTAGGACAGCAAGATCTGATGCTGAATCATTGGTCTTGTTGTAAAGGGACAAGAGATCTTCATACAGCTCAACATCGGTAGCATCAACCCTTCCTTTGGCTCTTCTAAATTGAGCAAGGACAAGCTCAACCTGAAATCAGAGTTTACTTTTAAAAAAGAAAAGGAACAAAAAAAGACGTATGATATAACAAATACAATAACACGGACAAATTGATGCAAGGAGCTGTAAGGACCACTCATATTCTAGTTAAAAAGAAGCAGATGTAGTTTTGAAATGTGACAGGATCATCTTAGGATCTTTGAACCATAAATTTTTTGAAAATGTCAAGAAGAAAAACAATGAAGTCGCACTAAGCTCCTTTGACAGTTATGATTCCCAAGAAATCACCTCAACATTATGCAATGCATATGACATAAAATCTCAAATATCACAGGGCAGAATATTAACTTGTTGGTTCTGGGCTATCTAAATCCCCAAATATATAACATAAAGAAGCAGGTGTATATAAACAGATAATTTTCAACCTGTTCCTTAACTTCATCAGATATGTCCAGGCCTTCATAGGAAATTCCACTTAGAGCTTGCTCCAATTTAGCTGTCACCTCATGGTATTTATTCATTATTTGTTCCCTCTCTAGGACCTGAAAGCAAAATAAACCCGGTGATTTTGGAAGAAAAAAGAACAAAGAACACTAGGTAGCTTGCAGGAACCATGACAGACCAAACCATAACCTAAATAGCATTTTGAAATTATTAATGAATTTTGCCTCCACTCTCTTGCAATAAGAATAACGGAGGACTTGCCTAATAACACCAGGGCATGGTAATATTTAGCAATAAATATACAAACGATGCAACATTACAAACAATATAGAATATACATTATATACATAGGATTGAGGAAGTTGACATTGATATAAAGATAAACAAAATGTTCCAATGCTTAAAGCCATCCATCAATGAATCGGCATCAGCTGAAATCTTTAGACAAGTCTCTGCACAGTATTTGTATGCAATGCAGTGGTTAAAGGAAAAAGAAACAAACAAAAGCATAAAATATTCCAATTCTGAAATGCCACAGCATTTTCTTTCACGGTAGGCAATTTTTTGGCTCCCCTTCTCTATTATTTTATTTTTCCTGTATGACATATTGCCTATGAACCCATATCAAAGTACCAGCGGTGACTGATTAGCGAAATGCTGTGGCATGACATAAAATTGCAATCCAAAGACCTCGACAAGAAAGGTTTTGACAACAACTCGCCCAAAAAAGTCAATCCAGAACATTCACTGGGTTGTATTCAGTAACATGCATGATCAAAATCCAAAACCCCACGAAAAAGAAATCAATGTCCCGTCAACAGAGTCTCTACAATAGAAAATGAGAAAAAAATTATAGAAAAAAACACAAACCAAGTAAATCTTGCTTCCTTCGCAACCAAATATAAGCAAATCTTTAGCGGAATCCAAAGCTTGTTTGAGCAAAACAAGAGCTTTGAGAGTTTGTTGAGGGATGATGGAGTCTTTGCTGTCTCTAATCTCCTCCAACATTGGTATCAACAACTTCAACCTCCTGGCTAGATAGAAATACTGTTTCTTGACCGTACATCTGTAATCTGAGATCGAAGCAATCTTGTTCACTGTCTCAATCAAAATCTCTACTACCTCACCTCCTCCTTTCTCTTCTTCCTCCATTGCTATAACCCAAAGAATACAAAACCAATCAGTCAGATCTATCACTGCACTAGCAGATACTCGTTTGCTGAACCGGATTAGTGAAATAC